TAGTAGATTAAAAAATTAATCTAAAAAACCACGTTTTCAAAAAGCAAAAAATAACCTTAAACGTGGTGCGCATGGAGATTGTTGGGAAGAAGTGAAATACAAATGAAATAGATGCGCACCATGTTTAAGGTTATTTTTTGCTTTTTGAAAACGTGGTTTTTTAGATTAATTTTTTAATCTACTAAATTTTATTGTGCTTTTTAGTCTTACTTGAAAAACGTGGTTTTTTAGATTAATTTTTTAATCTACTATGATTATTGAATTACCACCTTCTCAGTTAAACGGATTAAGTCCATTAACCGATGCATCAATTTTACGTGTCCAGGGAATATTCTATTCGTTTCTAGAGTTGATTTATGCGATCAGACATTCTTCCTTGACCGCATACAGTCTTTACCGAATCAATTTATTTTGTTGCAGGCTCTGGAAGTGCTGATCTCACTGAAACCATGCCTCGATGGAGGCGTTGTAGCATTTTTCGGAAGTCGTGGGAAACATTGCCTGATGAAATTTGACGCGGATGACGGAAACGACTTCGTTGAAGTTTCGCACCCACCGCCGTATCCAACCAACACAGACGAACTCAGCAGTCTCGCACGTCAACTTATTCAGATGACCGAGCGAAGGAGATCCTCAACAAGATATTCTGAATACCTTGACTTGGAAATCGAGGCTTCGTTAGCGATTTCCTTGCGAAGCTTTCCATCTTTAGCAGAATCAGTTTTCAAAGTTACGAAGGTTGAAGTCTCTGGGGATTTCCGCGCGTGGAAAATCGCTGTGGGAGTTCAGTTGAATCCGTCCAGTGGTTCTGGAGCTTTGACGTGGACCCATCTGAACTGTGCATTTGGGGGATTGTGGTCGTTGCACATGGATGGTGAGTCATTGGGATCTGTGTAATAACCGCCAAAGATTTCATGAAGTTCCTTTTGAGAATCGTGATCATTCATCGCTTCATTCGTGCCACAACTGCCATTCCTAAGATTGGAAGGATTTTACTGAACAAGAAGCATAGATGTTGTTCAGCTTTTCAGAATGATCATGAAGATTCCTTTTATCCCAGAGTAACTCTTCAGAAGGCGTAGAATTAGTTTATGCTAATTCATGCCGTTCATTGTCTTCGCAAAAATAAAGAATTCGTATGTTCGTCCAGTATTTTTGTATTCGTAGGAAAATGAAAAAAAAACCCGATGTTCAGACTAAGCGATAAAGGTTAACTCCATAAACAAGTAAGATTCAAGTTACAGTAGTTCGTTCCGTTTTCTGTGCAAGCGTAGATTATTGTGCAGTATTACTCACGATGTGTAAGCTTGGAAATGATTGTTCTTTTCGTGTTCACTTCGTCTTTTTTTTTCTAAAAATTGAGCGAACTAAGACTATTGCAGTATTACCCTGTGGGGGTTCTGGGGAGTGTATGAATGCGTCAATCGTTCTTTTAGTTCGTTGAAATCTAAAGGAAGACCAGATTCAATAATTTTCCCGGAAATTGGGTAGGGTACTGTGTTTGAAATGTATTTTTGTTGTCTTATTTCCAGTCACCGGTGAGCTCGGAAAAACTTGCACGGCAATGAAAAGAATACAGGCGGTTTGGGTGCGAGGTGAATCGAAATCAGTGGAAATCTCGGTAGCACGGGATGATATCCTAGATGCCTTGATATTCAAAAGGGCTGTAAATTTGCAAGTGTCTGTGATGTTCAAAGTTCCTCTGCATTTGTGCCTGCGCGAAAAGACAGCGACTCGAGTCAATTTCGTACAAATTTCATTGAAATCCGTCCATTTAACAATCTTTGATTTCATTCCTGTGCTGAAGTGTGATGAAACTTTATTCCAGCGTGAATTAGCGTCTTTCGTAACGAGTATACCCCCAGGAGTGAAATTTGGAAAACTTCTGACCGATCCGCGGAATTTTGAGAGGTTGATGGACTCATCGCGACGACATCGTTCTGCGCAGATGTCATCCATCAAGATTTCCAAACCGGTTTTCGAATGTTTGATGAAGTGCGGGTTCGTTGGAAACCAGTGTGCGAAGTTCCTGTTTTTCCGTGAACACGGAGCTGTCCGGTTGACTGTAGACCCGATCGGAGAAGAATATCAGGTCGACGTGTTCGGTTCGGGATTACGTTGTGTGTCCGCAGTGCGATTTTGGATCGAAACTATGTGTAAATCCTAATTCCTACAGGTTTGTAATTCATGTAGTGTTTTTCCTTTCTTTTTCACTTCGTAGATAAGTGCCATGATTCTCAGTGCGGTGCTTCGGAGACGATTTGGTCTCGTTTCTAATCACAGAGCTATCGCTTTACGCGGATTTTGTTCGGAAAATGACGACGAAGCAAAAAGTGCGAAAGCCGCAAATTCGGACCCGAAGAAAAATGCAGCCCCATTCAAGCCATCGAATAAACTGCAAGAATTGCTGCTCAGCATGAAAAAGGTAAACTTTAATTTTGTGCATTAATTTTACGTGGCCGAGAACCTATTAGCCAAGTACGGTACCAAACCTATTACCGGTAGGCTCTCTGTAGAAAAATTTTGCCGATACTGTAATAATATTATCGGTTTGAAGCGTATTTCAGATCCATAGGGTTCTCTACCCATGTTGAAGGGTTTCTTCGTGACGAAATTCTCTCTGCAACGATTTTTTTTCTGGTCTCTTGAACTGTGTTGTAGAGTCAGTCCACATTTATAACAACCCAACTGACCTAATAGAGTAAAATCTCGTTGCAACGAAGCAATCGAAAGCAGTATAATACCTTGATTATAACGAAAAATGCGTTGTTGGAACTGAAACGACATTGTGGCCATTGGACAGGGATCAAGAAATTAATTCTTCGTAAGCGATTGCTTTTTATAACGAGATTTTACTACAAAGCCAAACGTAATATTTCCACGCACTCCCTGGTTGGTCTGTGGTAAAGTAAAGTCTGTTTAGTAAATTACCCAAATTTGAATCATGTTTGTTATCTTTTCATTTGGATGTATTTTCAGACGACTGACGTGGAGGTGGAGGCGAAAAAAATCACTCCGAGTAAACCTGGTGGAAAGGAAAAAGTTAGGAAATTGAAGGAGAAAATGCGGGTTAAAACATTCGGTGAGTGGTTGTACATTTTTCCTCGGATTGTTTTGTTCACGAAATTCTCACTGATTTTTAAAAATCCTGAAGTGTCGAAGTTAGCAAACGAGATTTAATGTTCTCTAAAAACGTAATTAATTATTATACACTTGGATGGAGGCGTTGAATCCACGTCGAAATGTAATCGTGATGAACAAAGGACTTTTAAAATAATTGCATTTTACTACAACAAAAAAATGACATGCTGGATCGGGTAATCGGAAAAAAATATTTATAGCAATTAATGAGGTAAACGCTGGATGAACCCAAGAGCAGCTTCATCCGACAATACAAGAAAATATTAGACCTCTATTAACACCTAGTCGCACTAAAACAATCTGCACTTGGAATAAACTAAATTGAAGGAAGTGTAGTAAAATACGGAAGTCCTGATTTCCAATAAGCTCTGGACTAAGTGCATAACAATTAAGTTTACCACTAATCTTTCCTATTTATGATTTTCGAAGCTTTTTCATTCCTACTAAATACCGTACTTTCAGATGAAAAATTGGAAGAAGCTGCGCGAAAAACAGCTGAAACAGTTCCTGGTGATCCGATGAAAACGGAGTCAGAATTGCTTCGAAGGCTCCGTGATACTACTGCGGAGGCGAAGGAGAAGAGTCTCGAGTAAGTGAGACTTGGGAGTTGGTTCAGGCTTCAGATTGATCAATGTTCAATCAATGAACGTTATGGAGTCACAATTTAATTTTTGCCCTCCTCTCACTCCTTAGGCAACTTGTCGTCGGTATGAAGATTGAGAAGAACTCCGATGCCGTCCAATCCAAGAGATCACGAGATTTTTCGGACAGGGCGAGACATCTTCCGCTTCGAATGTCTGGGTAAGTACATTTTCACTGAAATTAAAAATAAAAAAAACCGAATATTTGTTTTGAAATATTTTTAATAAATTTCCTCTCTTCAAAATTTGAATTTGCTGTAGAATCATTCGAGCTAATAAACAGCTAATTTCGCCCGGATAATTGAATGCTTTTAAAATAACTTCTTAGATTGACGAGAAAATCGCAAAAGGGATCCAGCCAACTATCACACACATTCCCGTAATTTTCAAAAGCAAATCGTAGATTGATTCAATCCAGGAAATGATCAAGTGGTTCGAATTCAATTCGATCGGTACACGCCTCTTCCAATTGAATGATTCAAAATTCTAATGCGGTTTTTCTGGTGCCCAGCTGACTTAAGTTCTACCGTGCTTTATTTATATTATCTTTGTATCACAGGCGCTCATACAAAATTCCTTCGAGACGCAAACTCGAAAAACGAAGAATTTTGCTCATCTGCATCGCTTTACGTTTTATATTTAGTCCAGATATATTTTCATTCGACAGGGATAGGAAGCGCATTGATTTATTCGGAGCTAAGCCTCTCGGCATTTTCGCCGAAATTGGAGAAGAGTCTTCGACTGCTTCATTGTGCCCCGTCTATGACAAGTTCGCCGACAGAGAGCTGGCTTTATTGACCACTCATCCGCCGAAAAACGCGCTCGAAGAAATGATTGTTTGGACGGATCAAGGAAAGCTTTGGAAGTTCCCGATTGATAATGAACAGGGTGAGAATTTATTGCGAGGCTTCTTTTGTTGAAAACCAAGAAATACGTGCAATTTTCGTGAACTTCAGGCGTTTCCAAGTTTAAAAATGCTCTTAGTGCAATACACTAACTTCGAAGCTCTGTTCATGCGAGTTTGAAAACCGGGGTAGAATTACAAGTTGATGAACCCCAAGCATGTTTAATTTTTACCAAGAATTTTTTCGTTCGAAAAGACAGCATCAAATCTTGAAAATTTATTACTGCAGTAATTCAAATTTTTTTCTGGGATCTATTCCTTTTCCAAGAGTGTTATTCGAATTTTGTACAATCAAAAGTTTAAACTTACGTCAAGTTAGGCATTGTTTTCTTAAAATTCATTTTTGCATTTATTCTCCAATCCTCCTGCCGATAAATGTAACTGCTTTCGTCAATACGAATTTTACATGCTCATTTTTTTTCTGTTCCATGTGATTCCTAGGGTGGGAACAAGAGAAGAACGTGAGTTTTGAGGAACACGTGTTTCTCGAAGAGCACCTAGAACCTTGGTGTCCTGAATCGGGTCCTGTGCGAACGTTTATGGAATTGGTTTGTTATGGCTTGTCAATGAATCCATGGATGTCAGTCTCCTATAAGAAACAAACTATACTTTGGTATAAGGACTACTTCGCTTCGAAGGAACCGCTTTTGAAAGCAGTTGGTGCTGTTTGACCGCCCGTGATCTCGTGTTCAATAGGACGATTTATGTTGAAGAGAAAAATCATCTGATTATCGAATGATTTTGAGTTATTCTACTCATCGTTTCTGGCCAGTTCAATTGGGTTTTTCAGAACGTTTATCCGCCTGAGGTGGAGTTTAATTTGTTGCCTATGTCAAGAGGGTATTTTGTCTTTAATGTCGAAAATGTCGGACTTAATTTCCTTTAACGGAGGTTCCGCCTGGAATTTTTACGTTTTCTTCGGAGTTTTAGACAAATTGATGTTGAGTTGCATCACGTTAATTTGCGATATAGTGAGCTTCGGTTTCAATGAATCAGTATTTGTATACTTCACGTAAGGTCTGCATCTGTTGTAGAAATCAGTATGTATTCAACTTCCTGCGAAGTATTTTTCATCTATAATGAATATTGGTTCGGTCTAAAAGGTTTCGTGTAGTGGACTATAAACGTTTGAGCCAAAATCTGGTCTTGAGGCTGACCATTGATGTTGAACTGGTGCTGAAACAAGTACAGTACTATATTTCATGGAGAGGTTCGAGTGGTCGCTGAATTCGATTGACTTGCATTGCAGATCTGAACATGAGTGCGATTGTGAAAGAAGGTTTTTTGTGCCCGATGTGCATGGAAGATCTGGAGAGTGTTCTCGGTCTTCAGGCTCATTTCGAAAATGTTCATCAAAACCCGGAGGACTCGAATGCGATCCTACAGTCATTCAAAGGTGCTATCGGTCGCGCGAAGAAAGTCCTGAAGGAAGATCTGCTCGCCGGAATCGCTGGAAATGTCGGGGATTCATACGGATCTCCTATTGGTGCTGGTTAGTTGTTACTGAAAATTTAAATTTGATGCTCTGAGAACCTCTTTGAGAAAAGTGATATTTTGGGCCTTAAATTGCTTCCTGAATGAGTTGGCAGGATGCTGAAGTTGAATACAGGGGTTTATTTGCCCAATTAGTCCTTCCTTCCTTTGAAAATGCATCTTCACAGTTTTTATTACTTTTCTCTTCCCTGTGCCAATAAAACAAAGCCAAGAGGCCTCCAGAAAATTCCAGTTGTGTAGGTTCAAGGGAGAAAGCCTTTGAAATAGGAAGGATTTTAATGCATTGTCTCCAAGGAATTTCTCACAATCACTTTAAAAAAAAATGTATATATATATTTTTTTTCTTTCTCAAGACTTCAGTAGTGTTTGAAATATTATTTCCTTCATAAGCACTAACTGAAATGCAAATCGGGACGCAGCACAGCGAAGTATTCTGTAAACGTATTCCAGAAATGTTCTGGAAGCTTATCCTCAGTGTAACCCCGAATCATGCCTCATTATGAATGTCTTACAGATTTCATCCTGGTGACCTGTCTGACCTAGATTATTTCCACTAACCCATCGGGATGTGAAAGCTCTTACAAGCTGATAAGCATAAGCTAATCTAGCTTCAATTGTTTAAGCAGGAATGGATTTGATGCGACGTTCATGTTTTGGTAGATACAGTATATAATTGCGGAAACTTGGGTTTTTCGAAAGAAATGTATTCGTAGAAATCGTTTTTCAGCCTATCGCCATTTTAAATAATTTGCCTCTCGTACGTTCTTGCCATGATTAAAACGGGAGGGTGTCATATCACCAGTAGAAAGACAATGCAGATTCAAGTTTATCCTCTCTTTACAGGCCAATCAGAAATAAACAAGTCGTCATCATCTTCACTACTCACGTCGATCGTATCCACGCCTCGGAAAGTTGACCCTGGGCCTGAGTACGACCCAGAAACGTGGCGTGACCAGCCCCTGGGTGTAACCCGTTCCCACTTCGCGTACTTCAAGCAATTTAAACAAAATCGCCATGAGCGATATGCCACAGAGACGAACAAACTCATTTTGCGCCTAGACAAACTGGTTCGGGGTGTGAAAGATGACCACAGTGGATCCAGTTCTCCGTCTCGAATACCTGGCAGTCGGAGGGATTACGAAAAGGCTGTGGTGCCCTGGATTGATGATTCGGTGGTGAAATTGTGTCCGGAATGTGCCAAATCTTTTGGCATTACGAACAGGAGACATCACTGTCGACTGTGTGGTAAGCTAACCTCGATCTTGTCCTGTATTTATTCTACCGGCTGTACGCAAATAAATATGGTTCTGTTCCATTGTGTCGACTTTTCAATCCTTGCAAAAATGGTTATTGGGCGCATTTCATGGCTAGATGAAGGCGGTTTTCAGTTCAGAAACTGTGAAAATATTTCTGATGTCCTCGGTTAGCAAATGAACTTTAGGTAAATTCCTTCTGCTGTTGCTTTTACGCACAAGGTTTTACTAGTTTTTCCTCGCAGCTGTTGATTCAAGGTTTGTATTTCTCACATCTGATAGGAATGGTCATGTGCCAGAACTGCAGTTGTTTCGTTGATCAAGAGAAAAGTCGGAAATTGACGTCTGTGGTGAAGTCTGCCGTTAGACCGCAGCTTTCAGATCCTCGCCCCAGACGACACTCCTCCGCCTCCGGTCGATTTTCCGTTTCGATGAGTGAAATTAGAGATCTGACGACTTCGCTGAAAGCTACGCTCACTCCCGACGCTGTCAGTGGAGGACCTGCAGATTCTGTTCGGGTTTGCAAACACTGCAATTCTCTGTTGAGCAGGCGTCTCGAACATATGATGCTTGCCACGGACAAGCCGCCGTTGCTTGATTTGTATGACAGATTGAAGATTGTGATGGCTGAAGGAGAGATCCTGGTTCCAAAGTAATTATTACATTTCAATTTGCTTTTGCGCTATTTGTTGAAATGAGGATTGACTGGTCAACAAATTCACGGAAATCCGATCGTAAAAGAAAAATTATTCGAAATTTTCAACGAGAAGTTTATTGTATACTATGCACGGATTCAGCTCAATGACGTTTTTCTTCCGTTCAGAACTTGATTAAAGGGCCTGGAAGAAGAAAAATCAAAGTTAAAAGCTGACTACCATATAAAAATTGCGCTAACAAAGCAACGGAGTTCAGAGCTTTCGAATACATGGTGTGCTGTTTTTTTGATTGAAAAGTTCATCCTATGCCTGGATTCCAGCTTGAAGAATTTTTCTGCTTTTCACTACTCGAATAAAAAGTCTGGACGAAGAAAAATCGAATAAATAAACAGGACATAAGCATACCGTCCCTGGAGCTCGAAATTTGAAATCACACCGATCAGTTTTCTGTAACATAGGTGTCGCTTGCATCGTGGGAAATTTCTCCAGGCGTAAATTATGTCAAATTGTGTCACCTTTCGTGAGATAGTTCGGGGTTGATTTTAATTGAGTTAATTAGCTGGATTGTTTTGGGTGGGCTGCTGATCCATGCGACACTCATCTTATTTCATCTGTAATGTGATTTTAGCAAGTTATGCGAAAGCGTGGTCAGTATTTTTTAGGTGTATAGCGTTAAATTACAATTGGACTTCTTCGCTGGCGTAACCGTGAATTTTATTCGTTTTATCTTTTTTTCAATGTCTAGGTACGTTGAAATCATAGAATTCCTTCACTCGGGGCACCCGGGATACAATGTTCCTGATGCTCAGGATTTGCGACAACAAATTCTGAAGGCTGCTGAAACGATCGACTGCATAAGTAAAAAGATTTCTGTGCTTGGCGTCCCGTTGGATGCCGAAACGCAGGATGAAAATGAGTGAGTATTCAGTGGATGTTTGACACTAGCACTGCGTAGTGAAACTTCGATGAGTAGGGCAATACACCCGGGAATGGCGTAGAAATAATTAAAAAATAAGCATCAGTAGGTTAGAATATTCCAATAATTGCCTCGTTTGTTCTATCTTAAATACCCGCAATTTTCTTGGTGCGTTTGGCAGGATAATCGAGTCAATCATGGTAAACGAGAGCTGCTCGTGTTGGAATTATGAGGCGTGCAAGCAGCTTTGTTACATTTTCATGAATAAAATACTGTACCTAAGTTCAAAGTTAATCTGATGCCTTCTTACATGAAGTCGGGATATCTTGACTTCTATCGTCGCTAGTTTTCAATAAGCTTGAGTTACTTTTCAAATAAAAAAGCATTTTAAATTCATAATGTAAAAAAGTCAAATATTGAAGACATACTGCATGATGTTTTGCTTCAGGAGACAGCAAGTCGACCCCAAAACGTTGCAGCTGCAAGCGCAAATACGATCGTACGCGATACATTTCTTGAAATCGAATATGATTGGTTTGCCTCCGCTGCCTTCAACGGAACAAATTGAAAGGGCGAAAGAAGAGCGGGCTTTGAGTATTCAACGGAGAATTGCGAAAGCCGAAGAGCGAGACAGAAAGTATGATCCATTTGTCATTCAATCGATTGCATTCGAAGAAAAACTACTTCAAGGCTTTGAAACTTCATTTGAGCTTCATTAAAAACTTGCATCCAACTCATCCTGAAATACGACCTAGAAGTATGTACGAGTACTAAATATTTTCTGTATGTAATGAATCTTGTAACTACATTTTACCTGCTGATAATCGTCAGATCACCCTGAAATTCTGGATAACTGTGCATCATGTCATCGGTGACTGTATGGAGCATATTTTAATTCTAGTCAGTTGAATAGCGATCCAAGTTGACAAAAATCAGGTAAATTACGAACTTGATGTACTCCTCTAGAAAAATTTTTACATCCATTCAAATGTAGATGATTAACTCTTCGTTTTTTATATTTCTTCAAGACTGGCAAAAGGAGATTCCCCTGGTCCAGTGGCTATGAGCTGGACGCCCCGAAGTGATTCTGCCAGAAAGGGCAATGTGGACGAAGACCCTTTGCTACAGCAAATCAGGATAATCGAGAGTTACATTGACCAAGCACGAGCAGCAGATCGCCTGGAAGAAGTCTCTACTCTCGAGTCTAACTTGCTTGAACTAATTACTGCTTACCGCTCATCACGACCAAAGTGATTGTGAAATGCTCCCGGTCTCGTTCTTTGTTTGAAAAAAACGGGCTCCTTGGAGTGGACTTGGGAGCTTCGATTGAAACGTGTGATAAAGAGGCCAGATTCCCGCGTGGAAAACATTCTTTTTCGCGAAACTGCTCGTGTTTTGCGAACTGAACTGGCCTCTTTATTGCTCGGCATGAACCGCTCTCATTTGGTGCTTGTTACACCATGGATGAACAGTTTGTAGAGAACCAACTGTGAGGAAGATAAGATGAGGAATTATGCTGCATATCGCTTTGAAGAAAAATGAATTACCTATTGACACATTCCTCCGTGCATTCCGGAAAAGGGGGATAGGTCAAGGCTGTGGAATATTGCTGGTCAACGCGCAGTGTACGCATGCAGACTTTTGTTTTGTTTGTATATTTATCCTTCTTCAGCTTAACTCATTTGTTGCCGAGCAGTTGAGCGCCTTCCAAGAACAGCAGACGTTGAAGAGCAATTCTGCAAAATTTATACGATATGTTGATTTCCGGAAGGATACATTTTGATTGTCGGTTGCCTGGGAAGATTTCCTGAAGAATGTTTCCCCGTTACTAAAATGATTCAGATGTGTATAATTTTCAACTCATTTCAGCCAATGTTTGAGATATATTTGTAGTTTTGTTCTGTGCCCGCATTTCACTGGCTCCATTTCAATGCTTGTGCGTTCAACTCGACCTTCGAGAATGTACGAGTAATGAGTATGTTCTGTGTGTAAAAAATCTTATGATTGCTTTTCACCTGCTTTTAAATGTCAGTTAACCTTGAAATTTTGGATAAATGTGCGTCGGGTGTGACTATTCAGCATATTCCTCAATTCTCGTCATTTGGATGACGACGAAAATGTAATTTTTTATAAAGACTGTTGTGCTGATTTGAACCTCTCCGTTTTGAGACGCGCTCAATTGTTCGTGCACCAATTAAGTCATCTCATTAGCGAAGGTGTTTTCAACGATTTTCGTATGCTTTAAAACCTCTGCAGTGCTAAGACTGTTGTGCTGATTTGAACCTCTCCGTTTTGAGACGCGCTCAATTGTTCGTGCACCAATTAAGTCATCTCATTAGCGAAGGTGTTTTCAACGATTTTCGTATGCTTTAAAACCTCTGCAGTGCGTTAATTTGAGGATGAATTAATTTTTCCGAACGCCTTTTCTTTTATGTGAATTGACTTTTTTTGTGAGATGCGCTGCGGATCGTGACTCACTGTGATGGAATTATTGGAATTATTTCCATGTGTTGCTTTCTTCATGCGAGCCTCAAGCAAGGGATCGGAAAGAAGATCTTATTCTGAAAGATTACAGTGTGATTCATGCTATGTTCGACCCGCGGAAACTTGAATATTTGGGAGAGATATGAACACGTTGTGAAGAAAAATACGAAGTGAAAGAAGTGTGGAGAAGAGGAATAATCAAGTTTTAATTTCAATGATAAATTGATAGCGTTTGGGTTAAGAAAGGGCACATATTTTACTTTTTTCAGAGCAAAACCCCGTGTGATTCATTCAGAGACGATCTAATGCATTTTCCCTAGAATTGCCACAATTGTCCTCTCTCGTCTCTCTGGCGTACAGTAACCAGGATAATTTTCTTGCGGATGCCGCGAATTTCTCTTATTTTTAGACATTTGCAATGAGTAATTGCGTCGGATTTTTTTTTCATTTTGCTTCTTCCGGTTTGATAATTCCAGGAATTCCCCTACTTCCTTCCGATCACCTTTCTTTCTTCATGTGTTCATGAATCCCTAAGATATTGACGTTATTCTGGGTCTTGAGGCAGATGAATCTACCTCCGTTTGAAATCTGATCTTTTTTTTTTTTTTCTTCAAGGTGTTGATCCTTTTTTGCCCTCTTGAAGTGCGATTGTTGAGTGCTTATTCGTGTCCTGATGTGAACTTGACACGAGGAAGAATGGAGCCCCGTTGCGCATATGGGCTCAAGTGGGTTTTCTTTGTATCGGTATGCATTTGTTTTCTTGGGACCGTGTATGGCGACGTTGTTATTTTGTCGCGTGTGGATAACAGAACGAGCGATGTTTTTCCCGACCTTCCGGCTACTTTCGGACGTGCCATTCCGGATGAAGGGATTTGGGTGAGTCGTGCGAACAACTTCTTATGAGAAAATTGGCCAGTTTTATTTATTGCATCAATTTTTAGTTTAAGTCAGGACAGCATTTTGAGGTGCTTCTAATGTTTCAATCGCTCTCTTGATTTGAAACGGGTACGTCCAAGTAAAATTTGAATCCGAAGTCGTGATGATTATTCTGAAAATCAACAGTTGACGGAAATTGGACGCACTTTAATTTTTGGATTACTTCAAAATTTGGGCGATCAACTTCCGTTTATCTCCGACTGTCGAGTTGAATCACAGTTGTATATTTTGTGGTCAATCTAAATTCCGAACAGATTCGTACCCGATCAATAACTCGAAATTTAATTTAAAATGTAAATCACAACAGCTCAAATCCATATCGGAAGGAAATGCATTTTTCAACGATTTAGAATTCTTCTATTTAATTTTTCAAGGGCGAACACATTTTTGCGGTTCCTGCTGATGCGTGCCACGCGATACAACCTGCTCCGATTGAGGATTTCGATTTGAAATCAAGAAAAAATTGGATCGCTGTTATCAAGAAAGGAGGAGTTTGCGATTACAAGACCAAAATTTTCAACGCAATGCTCGCAAATTACTCTGCTGCCATTATTTATAACGTCGGCTCTAATCGTCTAGGTTTGTTATTTTCCGGACTTTTTACCAATTTTCAGGAATGTCCGTTCAGGTACCGTCAGTTTCTTACCAGAAATTGTTAATTCGTGTGTTTAGAAATATCCTTCGGACACATCTTGTGACAAAAATTCGCTCGAATAGTATAGATATACCGCCTACCTTTGATTCAGATGATGATGAATTTCTTCAACTTTCGGTCCCCATGTTATAAAATTAGAAGATCTTCTCAACGAGTTGAAATTTTGCGGAAAATTGACGCAAAAATTACCAAATGAAGGCAAAAATCAAAATTATTCACAAGAAATTGTCGTCAGATAAATTGTTTTTATTGGAAGTTGGTTGTCACATTGGGGAAATCATCCGTGATCACATTTTAAAATTATTTTAAGTATCCTTAGAGAAATTCTAGTGATATGAATTCGCTCAAATTTTCCAGAATCATCGCGTACTTTCTACTCGGATGATAAAGCCTCGTTTGAACTTCTGGTGCTCGCGTATTAAAATTAGCGGTTCTTCTCGATCAATTTTGTGGAACCTGGCCGATGCGCACCTGCAGCCGGATATTGATGACATTTGTAAACTGTCTTCAATGTGCCATCTCTTAACCTTTCTTATCTTTTGCTGTTTGTTTTAGATTCGAGTGAAAAACTTCTCATCTAATATTCATTTTGGTTCCCAGAGCGTACCGGTTCTCAAAATTATTCATGACTGGTTTCATTGATTTTTCAGAATTGATGCGTTGCTTGGGTGTCGGATGCAGTGGCCTTATCCCGTCAATTTTCATAGGTGCTGATGATGGCATGTTCCTTAGTACTTATGAATCGACCAAGTAAGCGGACCCAGTACAAGAATAGTTCTAGTATCTTCTGTCTTTTTTGCTTGAAATTTTTCGAGTACCCCGTGTATAATTTTTTCAGGTATATTTTGCACCTGACGGACGAGTTGCCTTTTGATTTGAACAAGTATTTGCTTCCTTTCGCCATTGTCGTCGGGGTCAGTTTCATGATATTGCTACTTTTTATGGTGAGTAAAATGGTTTTTCAAAAGAAGTAATGAATGCTGATGGGGATCATTCGTGTCTTAAGATCTACAAGTGTATCAGGGATAGCAGGCGAGCGCGAAGACATCGCATGCCTTGGCGTGCGCTCAAGAAGATTCCTCAAATTATTTTCAAAAAGGGCGATCCTTACGACATTTGTGCCATTTGTCTCGACGAATTTGTTGAAGGCGAAAAACTGCGACTTTTGAACTGCTCACATGGTGAGAAAAATTCCTTTCATGAAGAACTTCGTGAATATTTTTGAGAACTTCACGCTAAAACGAAAGCCCTACCTTTAATGAATAAAAAATTCGAGGGGTCTTGGAATATAAATTGAAACTGCATACGATTGAGCTGAAGAGCAATGGTTGTTCAGAAAAAGCGTGCTGTGGCTAAAAAAAAAAATTATTTTCGCTGATGAAAAATTTCTTGGCACAAGAAAAAAAAAAAGCCCTGTCCAACATTTTTTCTTTAGTTTTTCCTCTCGCAAAAAGTCACCTAATCTATAAGCATTTTTCCATCTTAACTTTAAAATCTGCAGGTCTCGCAGATTTTCTGGCGTACCCCAGCTTTCCCTCCAGAATTCTTGAAAATTTCAGCCGCCACTGGGGATGAGAATGAGGTGACAGTTCATGAACATGGCAGAATTGCCTTAGAAGACCTGTAGCCACCCCTTAGAATAAATGCACTGTTGATGTCAAAAATTCTGAAGGAGAAGGTGGACTACACAAAATCAGCGAGATGGGCGTCTCATCTTTTGAGTGAAGGGAAGAAAGATGCCAGGGTGACTTTCGCGGGGGGAAAAAAACTAGAAAAATATTTCGAGCAGGGCTTACTTTTTTTTCTGAAAAGTGATTGTTTTTCAGCGCAATTATATGCCATTTTAATTTTTATCCCGAGACTTTCTTGTTAGACCCCTCGTAATACTGCGGATGGAATATGCCTGGTTTAAAAATGTTTTCCTCAGCCGTGAAAGTTACGTGTCGTTGGAAATCAATCTTCAAAGTTGCAGTTTTCATTTGCATTCAAAGCGTTTCATTGCAAATGCGTGGATCCATGGTTGACGAAGACCAGACGTGTGTGTCCTATCTGCAAGCGAAAGGTGTTCGCCAGCAACGAGCGACAGTTGCATGGGGATTCATCCTCGGATGACGACGACGATGGCAATTCACGACGTCCCGTGGTGTCGGGTTTCCCATTTCGAGGTAACCAGGAAGAATCCGAGCCCTTATTGGGTCCTGCTGCTAGGGTTGCAGGAAACAACGAGGAGCCTTCGAGGTTCAGCAGAATGCTGACTTTTCTGCGACGGAGTCCCGTCAATTCTCCGAGCTCGTCGTATGGGACTGTGGATGTTCAACGTACGCATTACATTTCACGCCCTCAATTTCGAAATTTGTTTCAGACGTTCAAAATCTCGCATAAATTGTCGGTTGAGTTCGTTTGCGAGACAACGAACATTTTGACATTATCTGGAAAGGAAAACTGCGGTAGAGTAGTGTAGTTAAGAAAATCGCTAAATAAAGGTACAGTATGCAGGCGGAGGCTCTGTACAACGAAATTCAGGGCATAAGAAAAAAATATTTGATGGTTAGTGAATCCCAATGGAACCCAAAAATTGTTTTACAAACGAATTCTTTGTAGAGAGAGTCGCCGTGTATCTAATTATTTTTAGTGAGTTTGTTTTTAGAAACTTTTGCTCATCCAAAATTAAAGTACAGTACAGTGAATTCAAAAGTACTGGTACTTGAAGGTCGAATTGTTTTGAACCTAAGTTCAATTTTCTACCCCTGATTTCCCTTGATATATTGTATTGAATTTTGAGTTCAATTTTCTCCCAACGTTGGGCTATTATTTTGGAGTGGGGGTTCTTCAAATGTCCATTGCAATCACAATAAGGCTGATGAAAATTAGATAATAGCTAAAGGGAGGTGGAATATCAATTGATCGAAAGATTTTATTCATTTAAATTGGAAGACCCATTTCGAATAGCCTCACTATTTACAATTCAAGGAATTTTTCAGGGTCAGGAATCTGTTGACTGTAGGCTGAAATTTTACATTCCTGTTTTTGAAATTTTGCATGATGAAGAGTTCCATTGGAACTTTCGAGTCCCATAACCGAGGCAATCCTGGTTATGTTTTGAAAAACAAAATAAATTTATTTGCTGATGTAAAGATCTGTTTTGTGTCTCCCAACAGAACCTACCTTTGCGTCGAACGAGCAAGCAGTCAGTGCCCAGGAGGAGCGTTCAATCGTCGTGTGATTCGGAAATACTCACGTGGCATCGAGGGCATTGGAACTTCCTTCAATTTCAATTTTTCCGTGCTGTTCCAAGAATGTTTATCGATGAGGACCTTTTAATGTTTTTTTTTCGGATGTAGTGCCCCGCCCAGGAACAGATCCGATCTTGTTGAAATGTTTGTTGAAACTGTGATGGCATATTTTGTATTCGTTTTCGAACCTGAAGGCTAGTTCATGTTTCCTTTCGACGACTTATGGAAATCAGTGATTGCGGGGCTGTTTTAGTTTCTTGATGGATTTGATGCTGGAGTCGGGATTTAAATTTTCTTGTGAAGGATTTCCGACCGAAACCGATCCATCGTGTGGTTGAGGATATTATGATGTTCCCTGAAGAAGGATGTTCTTCGATTTTTATGCACGGCATTTAGTGCACGCTTTTTATAAAGCAAAACAGAATCATTCGTCTCTTGTTTCGTTTTCATGAGAGCGCCAACTGTAGAGACTCAACATTTTTTCATGCTTTCCGGCAGATGGAGTAATGCCAAGTTTTATTTTCGCGTTATTTTTTCTAAATGGACTTCGAGTTCAAAGTGAAAACTGCTGCTCAGCGGACGAAGGTCGAAGACCTTTTCGAGTTCGAGGGATGCAAAGTCGGACGAGGAACCTACGGTCACGTCTACAAAGCCAAGAGAAAAGACGGGTAAGCTTTATTGCCCAGTTCCACCAATTTACTGTACATTCTCAGAAATGTCCCGGCGACACTGTGTAGAACGACGGACCCGAAACATACCGAATATGCACTGAAGCAGATCGAAGGCACTGGATTATCTATGTCTGCATGCAGAGAAATCGCAGTAAGTTGTCTTACAAATTTAAAGACGTCTCGTTGTGAATAAGGTTCAATTTATTTCAACGCCTCGTCTTATTTGATGGATAGTTGAGCATGTGTTGCATGAATTTCTAGCTCAATGAAAAAATGATTGATTCAGCCTATCTATGAAAAATATGTCGTCTTAACCTGAATAAAGATAATTTCTGATATCAAGGGATGTCCCAGTTGGACACGACTTCTGATATTTTTAGAGTAGATGTGATTTTATAAAGAGGAAGAGTCTACCTATTTTTGAAATCTCAGTCAATGTCTAGAAAAGCTGGGCGTTGAAAGTGAAATCGAAAAATTTGAATAAATGGCTGATTATTGATTGTTTTCGCAGTTGCTAAGAGAATTAAAGCACGTGAACGTCATCAACCTCCAGAGAGTGTTTCTCTCTCATAGTGACCGAAAAGTCTGGCTACTTTTCGACTACGCGGAACATGATCTCTGGGTGAGGATCATTTTGTTTTGTTTCCAGCATTTTGGATGAGCTGAATTCTGATCGTTTTAGACATTTCCTTTCAGGAACGAAGAAGACTGAAGCAAGTTCTTGCCGAGATTCATTCATTTATGTGATGACTGGACGTAATTTACCGCTGGAACTTCACAATACTGTGTATAGATACGCTCTTTGAAAATCATGTCCGGTTCATTTTTATAAATACGTACTCATCAGAAAAACATTTGTAGTGTTATCAAAAATTAACATTATTTTCTGATGAAACAATTTTGAACTTGATGTTGAACCCTTTCAGCCTCTGCCGATGGGACAACCCAAAGAGAGAAGAGAGGAAAGGATAATATATTCAATTGAAACTTATTCAATTTGATGAATCCTAAAGAAACCAGGAGTAAATTCTTGGAGTTGAGAGACTACTTATAATTAATACATAATATTCTTGATCCTCTCCTAACCTGACTTTTGTTGGAAGGATGCATCCTTTTCCCCCATCCTTCATACCCGAATCTGTCCCACAATTAAGTACCTGCACCAGGTACACAAGTATTATATTTCTTTATATTTGTCGAGGTTTTTGCGTATATAAACCCCTGGCAGATTCCTCCCAAACAGGCATTAGTGTAGTGACTTTCAGTGAGACTCCTGTGTAAGAAATATCTGTGGGGTTGCCCTGTCTCTGTCTTGTGTTATTGTGATTTGTGCACTTGGTACAATGAAGACTATTTCTATCAAGAAGGAAACTTTCAAGTCTTTTCCCAATTTTTGCCTCACATTAGATGAGATACACGAGCTTAAAAGAACTTGAAGTTATTAACACTTGGTGAAATATAAATAAGAATAATTTTAAAATTGTTCCATGTCCTAAGGAATTGTTTTTGCGTCTATTTTGTTCGATAATTGCAAATGAACGCGACGAGACTTGTTTTTTCCACCTTGTTTCATGTTTATATGTCTTTCTTCTGTAATTTTTCAGCACATCATCAAGTTCCATCGTGCTGCCAAAGCAAACAAGAAACCTGTGATAGTGCCGAAAGCAATGGTGAAGTCACTTTTGTACCAAATTCTTGCTGGAATCCATTACCTGCACTCCAACTGGGTGTTGCATAGAGATCTCGTGAGAATCTTTTCTTCATGTTCATACAGAGGAACTTGTGTAACTTTTTTGTTGTTGTTCTTTTCGTCAAGAAACCCGCTAATATTCTTGACTACCCGCTGCCCTAGCTTTCTCCTGCTCACTTCTAACGACTGTACCCTAAACGCTCCGACAAATTGAGCGGCGACTTTGGTGACCGACTAAACCTAGGTCAACACCAATGTAAGACCATGGCTCGACCAGAGCTTTTGCTTGGTGCGAGGCATTACACGAAAGCAATCGGTGAGAAATCGTCTCTTTCCTTTTTCCACGATAATCTCTTCTAAAGCAGAGAAAGGAAAAAGGTGCTATTGGAGAACTAAAGAAGAAACTACTAAAAAAGGTTCGAAAACAAAAAATAAAGACCTACCTAATTACATCTACATTAAAGACGGCTTTGCTAGGGGGATTTGAGGATGAGCAGATTTTTTATGATTATTGATACAAAATTTGAGAAGTTCATTGGAAGCCATAATTAAAATTTCGTCTCTTTCCTTCTTCCTCAACAATCTCTTGATCAAATCGATAAAGTTCACGAGAGTTAGATTGTGATAGAACGATTCGAAAACGAAGAAGCAAAAAAAAAAGTCAAGACCTACCTATTTACACCTAAATTAAACATGTGTATTTAGGTGGGTAACCTCTACTAGTCAGAAAAAAAGCAATGCTGTAAACTCTGATCCATGAGAAGTGGACTACAATAATTTCCTCCGAAATTAATAATTATAATCTTACTTTTTCTTCGTCCTGATTTGTCTGAAACTCCATTTTAATTCGAATATAAAACTCCAGTGTGGTAATTTTTGCTGGATGGATTTTACATGACAACAAGAAAGCCTGGTAGTACCACAAACAATTTAAGTCACGAACGCAATTTGAAAGTAAAATTTTATTTCTGCGGCATTCGCAATTGTTTTTACGTATTGAAGCTGAACGTGCAGAAACCCAAGGACTCCAGAAACTGATAGATGGAACTTTTATTTTGGCAAGATATTTGGGCCATAGGCTGCATTTTTGCGGAACTGCTGACGTCAGAGCCGATTTTCCACTGTCGACAAGAAGACATCAAAACGTCGAATCCTTACCATCACGACCAGCTGGACAGGATCTTCAGTGTGATGGGATTCCCGCAGGAACGCGAATGGGAAGACATCAAGAAAATGCCGGATCATGACAAGTTGATGAAGGACTTCAAAAAGGCCAGTTATCAGAGTTGCTCTCTCATCAAGTACATGGACAGGCACAAGATCAAGCCTGACACGAAGGCCTTCAGCTTGCTCCAGAAGCTCCTCATGATGGATCCCAATAAGAGGATCACGTCGGAGCAGGCCATGATGGATCTGTATTTCAAGGAGGATCCGTTACCTACTGAGGAGTAAGTGCTTGGAATCCTGGCAAGAATTCCCCTAGCACGTCTGAAAAAAAAAAAATTCTTGGACACTTACACAGCTCTTCACATTTAAAAAATATTTGTATGAATCACCGCCAGTTTTGGCGCTTAATTTTTGAAACAAGTTCGGATTTTTTAAAAAGAGTTTTCGGCATTCAGGTCTGAATTTTGTCTCCAGTCTTTCGTGCTTGTATTTTGTAGTTGTAGTTTTGATGATCAATTACTGTCACTGCACATCTTTCGGATAGTACGTTTAAAATCCAACGCATATTTTTATTTTATTTTATCGCAGTACTTGTACAGTATCTCATGATGAAATGCGAACTTGTATCGCAGTTTATGT